CACCACCACCAGCCTGAACCGTTGATACAAGGCAGGATGGATCCATGCTTTCATGTTGTTGACGCCAAATTCTGACCCCACCATCCGAATGTCGCAGCAGAAATCGAGACTCATCAGACCAGGCAAGGTTTTCCAATCTTCTATTGTCGAATTTCCATGAGCTTGTGCAAATTGTAGCCTCGGTTTCCTGTTCTTAGCTGAAAGGAGTGGCACCCGGCGTGGTCTTCTGCTGCTGTAGCCCATCTGCCTCAAAGTTCGACGTACTGTACGTTCAGAGATGCTCTTCTGCCTACCTTGGTTTTAACGGGTGGTTATTTGAGTCACTGTTGCCTTTCTATCAGCTCGAACCAGTCTGACCATTCTCCTCTGACCTCTGGCATCAGCAAGGCATTTACGCCCACAGAACTGCCGCTCACTGGATATTTTTACTTTTTCGGACCATTCTCTGTAAACCCTAGAGATGGTTGTGTGTGAAAATCCCAGTAGATCAGCAGTTTCTGAAATACTCAGACCAGCCCTTCTGGCACCAACAACCATGCCATGTTCAAAGCCACTCAAATCACCTTTCTTCCCCATACTGATGCTTGGTTTGAACTGCAAGGAGATTGTCTTGACCATGTCTACATGCCTAAATGCACTGAGTTGCCGCCATGTGATTGGCTGATTAGAAAAAAGTGTTAACGGGAAGTTGGACAGGTTTATATCAATATGCTAATAACATACTGTAATTGCTCAACTCATCTTTTTGTCTTTGAAATAGGCATTTTTGCAATATCTGCATTGGACTGTGTTAAAATTTGACTTAGAAAAAAAAAATAGGACACAGAGGTGTACTGGTAAGATGGCATGTGCTTTTGTTTCCAATAACTTACATTGCTTTTTGTTGTGTACTCGGCAGACAAATAGAGAAAGAGCTGTTTTACATTCCAGTCAAATATTGGCTGCAAATGTACAAAAGTTAAGGAAAAACAACAACAATTCATTCTACACACCTGCAGGGTTAAGATCACTTCTGTCACTTTGAACTACACATGGACAACACATGGGCTATGCCTTATCATTCACGGTCCAAGATAATGTGAAAAATACATTTGACGTGAAATCAACATTACACTGCAAAACCAACATTATGCACTGTAGTAACTGATATAGGTCAAAAGTTGCGTTCAGAAATGTACATATATAGTAACATGTTTCCGCCAGTAAACTTGCTAAGCCTGCTGGTAGAGAATCTGACCGGTTTCATCAGCGATACATTTATTTTTGTTCGTGTACTGTATTTAAATTATCTATTGGTAGACCTGTCATATGCTTTTTTCCTGGAAGATATATTTACCCACAAACCCAGTCCCGATTTCATGTAATTAATTTTCCATTTGCTGACTTTTGCTGGCAACGACATATTTAAAAAAAAAAAAGCCTCATCTCACCCCTCGGGTGGTGTCCGTCCCCCATTCAGCTCGGGTCCTCTACCAGAGGCCAGGAAGCTTGAGGGTTCTGCGCAGTATCCTTGCTGTTCCCAGCACTGCGCTTTTCTGGACTGAGATGTCCGATGTTGTTCCCGGGATCTGTTGCAACCACTCATCTAGTTTGGGGGTCACTGCCCCGAGTTCTCCGACCACCACAGGCACGACTGTCACCTTTACCTTCCAGGCTCTCTCTGTTCCTTCTTTCTGATGTTTCCATCACTTGGGACCGCTACATCCACTACAACGGCTTTCCTCTACCCTTTATCTATGATCACGATATCCGGTTGGTTCGCCATTACCATCTTGTCAGTCTGGATCTGGAAGTCCCACAGGATCTTCGCTCGGTCATTCTCCACCACCATATATATATATATATATACGTAAACGTCATTATAACTGCCATTTTATTTGATACGGTTACCACGAACTACCGTTATAATGTACAGATTAGTTTTGTCCCGCTAGGTATGTTGTAACAAGGTTTGATTGTAGCATCAATGCAAGGCCTTCGTATCTCATGAGTGCCAAAGTTTTGCTAGTGCGTGCGCACGTAGCAAAATCTTTCTGCCAAGGTTTATGGCCATTAAAACTGTGAATGTTTCAATGTTGTTGCAATCTTGAATGAACCCTGTTGAAAAACAACCTTCGCTACTTGTGCACACAAACGCAAACCTTCAGAAGAATCTGGCTGCAGTCTTTTACTTTCGGTATTTATCTTGTACATTATAACCATCACAGGCAATACAATTTAAATGATTACAAAATTATTTGGTAAACCGACACGAAACTGTAATTTAGCATTTCACATTCTGTATTTTAATAATTCACTTACAATGAACTACATACATGTTTAGATTTTATGTAACCAAGACAAATTAACTAACATCAAGAATAACATTTTAGCTTAGCTACATTCACAATTATCCAATAAAGAACTGTATTTTCCGCACTATAAGGTGCATCTAAAAGCATTACATTTTCTCAAGAGCCGACAGTGCGCCTTATAATTCAATGTGCCTCATATATGGTGTTACAGTCTCTTTATATTCCTCATTGAGTTGTTTCCCTGTTAGTGTTCCTATACCATCTAGTGGTGATTATGAGAAGGAACCAATTTGTGCTTGTATTTGCGCTTCTTAGAAATTTTTGTTTGGTTGGGTTTTTTTGTCACCCAAGTACTACAATAATTACCAAAAAAAAAACAAAAAAAAAAACCTGATCATTTTTTCTTTAAATTTAATGTATGCCAGTCAATTGCGACTTGCCCAAGTGTGTGTGGCGCGATGCGATGGTGCATTCCTCCATTGATTCATCCGCTCCAAACATGCATTAGATCATGAGCAACCTATTCTTCTTAAATTACTTTTATTCTTTTTCGTAAATACTGATTGCAAAAACACTGTTTCTTTCAAAAGTCGCCTTTTAGATGAGCGGCGCACACGTCTGGCGACAATTAGTGTAACTTCTGGGCCCAATAATTTTACATTTAAAGTTTGCATCTTTTCCAAATGGATCACTATGGAATTCATGCCTCATGAAAACATCACGCTCTGGGAATTAGGGCCACTCTCAGAATTCAAGGAGTCACGCTTCTTTGGTCATTGTGCGCGTCATAAGCTTTATGCGCATGGTGGGTGTGTCAGAAGACTGGACGGGGAGAATTGGCACACCTTGGAAGTGCACAGGATAGATGCGTAAAAAAATAGCTCTGGCGTAAATGGAGTATAAAGCCCATTTAGAGATATTTGTAAAGGATATCAGCTGAGAGGTCAAATGTGATGAAACCCAGGTCACTGCGCTCTCTGGGTCCAGTGAAGTCGTCAACATTCCTCCTGCAAAAAAAATAAAATAAAAATCTAAAATTTATATATATATATA